ATGAGCAGGTAGGTGGGTGGATGGATGGGCGGGTGGGTGGGTGGATGGATGGTTTGCCCCCATCTTCCCCTCCCTGGGTGGACTCATGCCGGTATCTGCTGCAGGTGGGCCTGAGCCAAGCCCTGGAGAGGGAAGTGGAGACAGTGAGCAGACAGAAGAGGATGGAGAACTAGACACAGTGGCCCAGGCCCAACCCCTTGGGAGCAAAGTAAGTCTTCCCCAGTCACCCCGCCCCTCCCCCACCTGGAGCCTTGGGCTCAGATTTCCTAAAAATCTCAGTGCTCTCCACTCCAGCAGGAGCACGGAGAGCCTGCCCCCTCTGCCATGCCCAGGCGGTCCGTGAGACACTGAGCAGCAAATGAGAGCATGCTTTCACCATGTGGTGTCACCATCAGAAACCCCGGGGGCAGGCTGCGGGGTAGGCAGAGCCTGCCGCGAAGCCTGCTTGGCCCGTGGGTCAGGACCCCGGGGGCCCGCGTGTCAGGTTGTCAGGGCAGGCAGGGGTCCCAGAGGGCGCGCTGGTGTCTCCCAAGGCGGCCTTTGCATCTTTGAGGGAAGCAAGGCCCCTTTAGACTCCCCTCTGTGAACACTTCTGCTTCTGTTTAAAAGCCAACCACGAGCCTTGCCTTTGTCGGTGTTTGTTTCTGTCTTAAGAACAGCAACTTATTTTTCAGTTAGTTTTGGTGATAGAGAAGCATCTGGGTGGGATGACGGAAGGGGAGCAGGCTGGGGCAGGGGGACAATGATGGAGCCACGGGAGGAGGCCAGGGTCTTTGAGATATGACACTGGACACGTCTGGCCAGTCTACAGTGAGAACACTGTGTTCCTGCCTCGTCCTGAGCTTAAAGAGCACTAGCCAGTGTCTGGAATATTCCCTATACAATACCTTTAAAGGATCAAGATCATTGTGAGGGAGGATTTCAGTAGACGTATGCCCTTCATCTGAACAGCATGGAACTCTTCCCCGCCTCTGCACCCCCACAGCAGGTGCCCCTCATTTGTCTGAGCCTCCTCCCCCCGCCCCCTGACGCCTCCCAAGGGAGAGAGGCACCTGTCGGCCCTCAAGCAGACTGCCTGCCCGCCCCGCACCCTAGGGCCGCGGTGCTCCGGGGCCTGTGTCCTCAGCACTTCTGAGCAGCTGGATACCTCTCCTGCTCCTCTAGGAGATGCTGAGGAAGCAGGTCTCGCAGGGCCGGGGAAAGGCGCTCTGGGCCCCTTGGCGCGGCCTTGGAGCTCCTTTGGGTCTGTTTCTAGTGCGGGAGGTGGACATATGCCCATGGAGGCTCCCACCCCAGGGCTGAGGGGGCCCCCGTCCTCTCTGTCAGGCTGACCCTGACCCCCCCCTTCTTGCCCGTGTCTACACCTGCTCAGAAAAAGCGCCTCTCCATTCACGGCTTGGACTTTGAGGCAGACTCTGATGGCTCGACTCAGTCCTGCGGTCGCCCCCCATATCTGTCGCCGGTCCCGATGGCCACAGACAGCATGCAGGTCAGTGGGCTCTCATTTCTGCCCCTGTCCTTCCCGGCCACTCGGGGCCCCAGGGGGGTAGGTGGGGGAGGGCACTCTGGGAAGGAGTCCGATGACCATAGCCAGTATCAGGGCACAACAGGCCAGGGGAGAGTTGGGGAGGGGGCCCAGGGTCTCTGCAGACACGGGGCTGGCAGCTTGGGCAAGTGGAGTGCAGGATGGGAACTAAGGCTGGACAGACGAAGGGGCCGAGGGAATTCGGGCTGGCTGCTTGTCCCAGAAGTAAGGCAGAAACCCCGTGACTCGGGAGGGCCAGGAGAACGGCTTCTGCCCTGGAGTTCGGGCCTGACGTGTGCCTGGACATCCATCTGGAGGTACCAGGCCAGAGCTGGGGCAGGGACGCACCTGCCCCGGCTGATCTGCAGACTGCTTTGGGGGAGAGGACAGCAGGGCAGGGAGCCGGCACCCCAGAGGTCTCTGGGCCCCAGGTCCTGCTCCGGCCACAGGATCAGCCACTGCCGTCTCCGTTTCCCGTGGCCTCCAGGGCCTGAGGACTGCTTCCTTCCTGCCCCCCTCCAGCTGGAAAGGGGCTGGGGCACGTGGCTTCCCGAAGTCCTCAGCACCTTGGTTCCCTTAGGGTGACGGCACAGCAGAGAGAACCCTCTGCCGCCTGAGGAAGGGAGAGTGTTGGGGTTGCAGCCAAGGGGCCACCCGGGGCCCTGCCCACACTCAGTCTTGCCCCCCTGGTCTTCTAGGAGTCTTAAGGTGCACGCAGTTAGAAAAATGCACCCGCCCCCAAAAAAGATAACTTCCCCATCCGTATTCTCAAGGGTTCCATCTCTAGGAGGGTCAGAGCCCCCGAGGCTGTCAAATGGGTTTCAGTTCCCTTGTGTGATGAGGGGTCAGGGCATCGGGAGCCCCAGCCTTCCATGGACACATGATACAGAGTGGGCAATAAATGGTTTTGGCAGAATTTCTGAAATCGAAGGGAACGGAGTTGGAAGGGGGCATAGCAGATGGCTGCCTAGCGTGCGGTCAGTCGGATGATGTGCGGACACCCCCAAGACCGGGACTGGAAAGACCCCCATGCCAAGGAGCAGCCCCCTCCTGGTGAAACGTCCCGCAACTGGGGGGTCCTGTGTGCTCAGGCCCTCACAGGTGAACCCCGTGCCAAGGACACCTCCCAGGAGGCCGTGGTCCCGGAAGAGGCTGATGTCGGTGCCCCTGGACGCCACCCTCATCCAGAAGAGCAGACAGACAGCCTCTCGGCTGCCAGACGGGACACCCTCACTGAGCCCCGCTTCCCCAGACAGTCCTGCACAACAGCCCTGGGGTTGGCTGTCACACCCGGTAGGTGCCCCGGCTGGGGTGTGCAGGTGGGGGAGGGGAAGGTAAAGACCTGCCTGGAGGTCCTGATTCCTGCAGACACACTGGCTGGTTTGTAGCAACTCCTTCCTTCCCCGTGATTATCCAGCACAGCCAGTCCCGGCTAACGCCATCAACACCGGCCTCCTCCGGGCTGGGTGCTTCTCTCGCAACACTCAGAATACCCAGCATTAACGCCTCAACTGGCCACACAGCTCTAACCCTGACGCCTTTTAGGAAGGATATGGACCTGGCTTGGGGTAGGGAGACGCACGTTTCCCTGAAATGATTAGGATCACTGGTCACCTGGACCAACAATCCTGACCAAAGAACAGGGCAGCTCCAAACCTGGAGACCGATGGTACACACTTGGGGACCAAGAGTCCACTCGGGGATGGTTGGTACACTCGGGGACGGTGGCACAGGCTCCATTGGGGCGCTGCTTCCCCTGGCCCACCGTCGGCTCCCAGCTGTGACTCAGGAGGTCTGTACATGCCCAGAACCTGGATTTGCTCAGTGTAATTTCGTTGTCAGACAGTTCGCTTCGTAATGAAATCCTGAATCGCCGTCTTTTCCTGTGCCCTGTGGGCGTGTGGGTTCAGGAGTTGAGACCCCCTACTGATGTCGCAGCAAATGAGATCATGGTGGCCGCGCAGCCTTCCTGCTAATGAGCCCCCACGTGGCCGCGGCGTGGGGCCAGCTGCCGGGGAAATGTGGTTAACACACCGTCTGCCAGGAAATAGGTCCTTTTTCTGTTTTCCCTTTATTATATTACAGGGACATAATCTCATGGTCTGCAGGCCGATTAGGACACGGGAGGCATTGGGGAGGCATTGTTCCCTCTAATCAGTGAATAAATGTATCTACATTGAACAGGTCGTAGGATGGGGACTTGCACAGACGTGGTGTCCCTTCCCCTGCCCCGTGATCCCTGGCCTCCCCGAGCACGCAGGGCGGCGGGCAGGGAAGGAGAGGCCGAGGGAGACCGTCCACGCTGAGCTCCAGCCCTGGCGTTCCTGACCAATAGTTGCTCTATTTGACTGATGCTAACACACAATTTGCACCCCGTCCCTTAACCGGGTAGCGGCTCACGGGACATACCGGAGTTTGATCGGCCGCATTGCGTTGGGAGCACATCACGGCCTGCAGGTGCATCACCTGAGGTGAGATGTGCTGCCACCTGATCAACCCGCTTGGCCATCGTGACTCCGTTTCCTCGTCGCCAAGAGGGGCGCGTGCCCAACGCGCGGCACGGTTGTAGGCGGAAAAGAGACGGTCGTGTCCACTAAGTGTTACCACACAGCAAATCGTCACCAACACACCGGCTCGAAATCTCACTGTGGGCGGAGTCCAGGCGCCCTCAGCACACGGTGTCCCAGGCTAAAACCCGCGTGTTCCCTGCACTGGAGTCTCTCTGGAGCTCGGGGACCCTCTCCCCAGGCTCACTCGGGTTCTCGGCAGAGCTCACGGCACCCGTGGGGCCCTGCAGAGCCTCTCCCGCCGTGCCTCCGGGCTGGTCAACCCTGAACGCACCTCGTGTGGCCGTGTGTGGTGCCGCCCAGGCTGCCTGGGGCCGTGGGTGAGGCGGTGGGGACGGCGAGCTTCCCGCCACGGCTGGAGCCCAGGACAAGCACGGCCCGACACCCAGGTGATCCCTGCCCTCCAAGAGTCTGGCATGAGAAACGGCCCGGAGTGCCCGATGTGGAAAGACTTCCGATGCCTCCTCCACTCGGGGAAACTCCCCAGGCCCCACGTGTGCCACCCTCCAGGCACGTGGACAGGGGTGTGCTGTAATCATCCCCCGCCTGCTGCTTTGCGGACCTGGCTTCCTCCTCTCCGGGCGTCACCGCGAGGGGCCTGAAGCTCCTTGCGAGAGGACACGCAACGAGCCCCACTCTTACTTCGATTTCAGGCACTCCGCTCCCTGACCTCAGGGGGCGGCGGTCACGTCTTCGGTTTCTTTGACCTCTTATTGGGAAAAACGTGTCCACCGGCTTTCGGCTTTTCACCACAAATAACTCGAACCCACTGTCACTCCAAAGGTCCGGGTGTCAGCAGCAGTGAGCGGCTCTCCTCCTGGTACCCGGCTGACGAAGGCACCTCCGATGACGAGGACACCGGGGCTGACGGTGTGGCCTCCCAGAGCCTCACGTGGAGGGACTGCGCCCCGGCTGAGAGCCAGGTACGGCAGCCGGGACGGATCCGTTCTTGCCGTCGCTGTGGATGGAGGTCTTTTACCTTCACACCAGGTCACGGCAGAGGAATCAAAGCTTCTGATATTTCATCTTAATTTTTTTTAACGTTGGTTTGTTTTTGAGAGAGACAGAAACAGAGCATGAGTGGAGGAGGGGCAGAGAGAGAGGGAGACACAGAATCAGAAGCAGGCTCCAGGCTCTGGGCTGTCAGCACAGAGCCCAACGCGGGGCTCAAACTCACGGACCGCGAGATCATGGCCTGAGCCGAAGTCGGACGCTTAAAACCGACTGAGCCACCCAGGCACCCCAATGTGTGTTTATTTTTTAGAGAGAGAGAGAGAGAGAGAGAATGAGTGGGGTAGGGGCAGAGAGGGAGGGAGACACAGAATCGGAAGCAGGCTCCGGGCTCTGGGCTGTCAGCACAGAGCCCGACGCGGGGCTCGAACTCACAGACTGTGAGATCATGACGTGAGCCAAAGTCAGACGCTTAACCAGCTGAGCCACCCAGGTGTCCCAGTACTTGATTCCTTGTGATGAAAATGTTTACTATGCACCCGATTAAGTATTATGTCATTTATAAGAGGAGGAAATAATCCGTGGATTTATGCCTTTAGCAGACTTTATGCAGCTTTTAAGAAAATGTAACTTACAACACTTGACGCCTGTTGAATGAGTGCGACTCACTCACACTGCAAGCCCTGATTTATAAAATCAGTCACAAGATTCCTGTGAGTACCCAGGTTTCCTTCGCGGAATTCAAACCGTGATCCCGTTTACAGACCACTGATCTCGGTTTGAGCAGGTACACTTAACTGGGGGGAAAGGCAACAATGCTTTATATGAGGCCGTCGTGACCGCTAGGTTGATAAAGACTCATCAATGATCCTGATAAGGTCTCGACTGCTACGGGTGAAATCGTGAGGCCGGGCCGTTTTGTAACTGAGGAGCCCAGAGGCAGGTTGAGTAGGAGAAGGGCCCCCACTCAGGATGGAGAACTCTGAACTGTAGCTCAGCCCAGGCCCGTCTCAGGCACATTGGCAGGAGCCAGGATGAGTGCTGGTTCAGCCTCCCGTGCACCATGATGCATGGCACAGAGCTCCTCCTGGGACCCTCCCCCAGGGAGGTTTGAGGGGTCGGGGATGCCTCCGGCGAGCTTCCCTTCCGGGCACCCACGGACTGAGCTCCGGGCCGCCAGGTGGAAAGACTGAGCAGATATTGAGCGTGTTCAGAAAAGGCAGGAAGAGGACGGGGGAGGACGGTTGTGGTCGCTGCAGTTCAAGGAGCAGATGGTAGGGGCAGGCGAGGGGCCCGAGCTGGGAGGGGCTGCTCCGCAGGGGACTTGGGCCTTCCCCGGCCCCTCACCCCTTCCGGGCACCCGGATGACCCAGGAGGAGCCTGACTCACAGCCACAGGCTCCACGGCGGGCTGAGTCCTGGCCGTGGGTAGACCAGCGCTGCCCAGGACCATCGCTGACAGATGGAACTGCCCGGCAGGGCCTGGGCTCTGCTGAACCCACTGTCCCCAGGCTCCCCAGGCTCGGCTGATGTAGGAAAGGTCAGGGTTTCCTCTAACCGCCATCCTCTCGCTGCCGAGCCCCAGGACACGATCTGCCGAAAACAGCGGCAGACTTGGAGAAGGAGTCCTGTCTTGCATGGGTTTTGAGGAACCACTGTACGTTTTTTGTTGTAAAATTGATGGGGCTAAAAAACGTCAGCAGGACAGAAACATGGCGTCTTTGAACTCGGCCTCTCCAGAGTCACAGCTGACTCCCCTTCCTGGGATGTCACCCAGAATTGTCCTACAAGCATGGGCTGGAAGCTCTCCTGCCCACCTTCCGTCTCTGGAAGCAGTGCAACCCCCGCCCCCCCCTTCTGCCCTGAGCTAGGCAGGGTGTGAAAGGCCCTGAGAAGGTCTGTAGTGAAAAGCCACCTACCATTCTGCACCCAGGGTGGCCCACGCTTCTTGGAGCCTGAACCCCCTTTTACAGAATAGCAAGGAAAACACTGGCTCAAGGAAGTGACCTTTGACCAGACCAAGGCTTGGCCCCGGGAGGGCCGGGGGGGATGGTGGTGGAGGGGGGAGTGAGGCCAGGGCAGGGACCGTCCCGTGTGGCAGGACCACAGCGGGCAGAGGAGCCGGATCAGAAGACAGTGGGATACAGACTAGAATTGCCTCCTTTCAGTCAGTTTTTAATTTAACGACTGTGGGAACTTGCAGGAACACACACGCGTTGGTCTCTAGCCCTCCCAGGGCCGGCCGTCCTTTGTGCCTCCTCGAATCCTTGAATTATCCCCCATTTCGTTTCTCTAGCTCATCTCTGGAATTTCCTGTCTTCACTTATTTCCACTGACTCCACTTTGAGCGACATCTCCCTTCCCCTGAATCTTCACGTAAAGGCGACCGGCTGCTCACAGAGCTGGTGCAAAGGGCAGGGGGCCCGGCATGTGGGTAAAAGCCTGGGACAGACTCTTTCAGGGGACCGTGTGAGAGCCGCTGCAGGACCCCCACGCCTGCCTGCCCCCAGAGCATTGCTCCTGAACCCAGACTCACAGACACACCCTGGGGTGCCCAGAGTCCTTCAGCATGATGCGTCCTGGGGTTCATCGGCATGTCCTGTTGTGCTCTGGTGCCTGTCTCTGTCCTGTATTCAAGGTCAAGACTTTCTGGATGAGGGATATTCAGGAAAGGCCTTCTGTAAAGAATTGCTCACGCCAAGAGAAGGCCAGCATGGGTGTGAAGGGCGCTTCCGTGGGGCTGAGATCCGGAAAGCCGGGAAACCACAGCCCCGGCATGCACCCCCACGCCTCCCCGTGGTGGGGTGCGAGCCCCCACTCCCCAAACCCAGCCTCGAGGCCCCTGATGCTGGGCACAGGCTGCAGACTCTGACTCGGTTTCCCCGCAGAAGCCTCACGGGTGGCAAATTGTGGTGGTTCCATTTTAATCCACGGCCTGTTGTCTGCGTTGTGTTTATAAATTGCGAATTTCGGTTTTGTTGCCTCCGAGTCGAAAGCACCAGGCGTCCGTGCCGAGCTTTATGTCCGTATGTGTCCACCAAACGTGGTAAGGCCGACAGCTGGAGCTCACACAGGGGCGGAGGCCGCCAGCCAAGCAGCTGCTGCTTTGGGCAGAAAGGACAAGGCCACACCAGCCTCGTGGGCGTCCCTCACGAGTACCTGAGAAGCGGGCGTCCCCCGGGGGTTCCGGGAAGGGGCCGGCGGCCGTCCACACCAGATGGAAGACCAGAGTGGTGTTACAGTTGCGGTGTCCACGCCGTCCTGGAGGCCTCCTACCTCCTCCCGCCTCGGGAGCCCGGATGCCGCCAGGGCCCTGCTCAGAGCAGCCCTGGGCCCTCAGATCCCGGCCGCGGCCTTCCGGCCTCTCCGTGGCTCCCTGCTGCCCCCCAGCCCCAGATGAGAACTTTCCAACTCGTCTTGGGTGCTTTTCTCTCTTTGCCACTCTGGAGGTGACGTTAGACCATGATGGCGTCAGGACTCTTCTTGGGGCGTGTGGTGGCAGGACGTGTCCCACGCACGCTGCTCTCGGGGAGACGAGCTGTCTGTGAACACTGCCCCCGCCTCCCCGTATCGATCGCGCCTCCGGCCACCCAGTGCCACCAGAGGGGGGCTCCGTCACAGCCGCCACTCAGACTGAGGGCCGAATCCTAACCGAGACCCTTGCCTTGTGTCGCTCAGCTTTCCGCTCTTTTCCGGGCAGCTTTGGCTGCTTGGAGCCCGCGGCACTGCCGTGGACACCAAACTAATGACCTGCCCCACAAAGCAAAAGCACCTTCCCACTCCACAAGTGCCTCTCAAATGTCCCTTTTAAAAAAACCAGGTGAGCCCCGGAGGAGATAATGGCCGGAAGGACACGGAGGCTGGGCTTGGAGGAAAACCGAAGGATTGGTTTTCTCGGGTCCTGGTCTGGGAGCTGAGAGACTCTGGTGACTCAGGAGGCTGGTGACTCAGGGGACGAGGAAGTTGTGTTTTTCGTTGTTTCAGGTGTTAGTGGTCCCTCCCGGCCCGCAGTGACCCCGGCTGTGGCCAGCTGACGACTTTCAGATCAAGCAACCTGGCATAATTCATTGGCGCCTTCCTGTGCGGATGGGGAGCAGCGGGGCCGTGTCAGACGCCCTTCAGATGCAGCTTCCTGGTCTTGCTGAATTTGTCACCTCCCCTGCTGTGCTCACCCCCTTACCCTGTCTGCTGGGACCGCTCCCAGCTTTCTCTTGGTGTTCCAGAACCTTCTGTGTCAAAATGGGCTTCGTGCTTACCCTTCCCAGCTCACGTCACGGATGGCGGCCTTAGCTGGCCTTCCGCTGCTCAGGAATTTGTACCGTGATGGGTGCCTGGTGAGACCGGACTGTGTCCCCCGGCCACCCCCTCGGCTTGGGGACCTGATTTGGGGCTAGAGGGAAGAAGCGTCCTCCCGTGGTGAAAATGTCCACGAAGGAAAGCTCAATGTCTAGTTCACACATCGTGGGTCTTTGGCGTGGGTGGTGGCAGGATCGCTGGGAGTGCCCCCCCTACCCTGACAGCCTGCTTCCTGAGGGCCGGGACTGGCCCCCCAGCACGGGCACTGCGGACAGGCTCTTCTGGAGCGTGGACGGAGACCTCTCCCAGAGCCCTGCCTCTGAGCACGGTGCACACAGGGGACCAACTGAACACAGATCCGCTTGTGCATTTCAGCATCTCACCGGCCACCAGCCCACAGACGCCGACAGAGAAGAAGAGACCCTAAAGAGGAAGCTGGAGGAGATGACCAGCCACATCAGTGACCAGGGGGCCTCGTCCGAGGAGGAGGGGAGCAAGGAGGAAGAGGCAGGACTGAACAGGAAAACCTCCATCGAGGACCTCCCTGGGGCAGCCCCAGAGGTGAGGCCACCCGAGGGCTTGGCAAGACCTGGGCAGAGGTGGGGCCAGGAGTCAAGGGTTTGTAACCAAGCCACTGGCCCACCCCAGGCAGGAAGCCACCCCCCGCCCCCCGGTGGGCACTGGGCCCCAGCAAGAGCTGCACGGGAGACCCAGCCCCCACTGGCCGATCAGCTCTGAGTTCAGGGGAAGAGAGTGTCGTAAGCCTGGGCCCGTCTTGGGGAGAGCCCTGCGGTCTCTCCCGCTGGTGGTCATGTTCCGTGCTCCCCTCTCCTAGGTGCTCGTGGCTGCGGGCCAAACGTCCAGACAGGAAACAAGCCCCCGGGGTCCTCAGGAACTCATGCAGCCCGGCAGAACCACGGACCAGGAGCTGCTGGAGCTGGAAGACAGAGTGGCCGTGACGGCCTCCGAGGTTCAGCAGGTGGAGAGTGAGGTAGCCACTAGCCCCAGGGGCGAGCGGCTCCCCAGGAGGGATAGTGATGGGCCCTGAAGGTCTGGCAGCCATGGACATCCACCCGAGCTCCAGAAGAGGAGCTCGGGGGTTTCTGTGGGAATCACCCAGGGCACTACCCTGGCCGCCATCCCGTTTGCCTTGGAGAGAGGCAGGCAGGGTGGTCCGCCCTTAGGAAGATGCTGGAGGAGGGGCTTCCCAGGAGGAGGGGCTTCTCTAGAAGCAGGCTCAGGACAGCCCTGGGGCTCAGGACCAGACTGTCACCTGAGGGACATCCTGTGAGCCTGAGCATAGGGCCAGGGCTTGAGTTGGGTGAGGGTTGTGTCCGTAGCATACAAAGGTCAAAGGGCAGAGCCGGGGCCTCCCAGAGACGGCGAGGTGACCGGGCTCCGCTCTGCCCTCCCCCTGGGGGCCTGCAGGGAAGAGAGGGTCTCCCCCTCAGGCTACAAGAGGAGCCAGCACTTCTGCTCATCAGCAAGTGCTCTCCAGGCCCAGGAGGATGGGGCGTGTCCCCAGAGCTGTGCACATTAGGAGGCCAGGTCAGCCCAACGACTGTATTCTTTTATTCCTTCTTGCCCAGCAAACAGTTTTTAAACTCCTGAATGTGGCGGGCGTTGTGTAGAACACAAAAGACACAGCTGTAACATTCTTAGATGGGGCCTCTGTCTTCATGGAGCTTACGCCTGTAGCAGGTGGGGACAGAGGACAGGCCATTGATGGAGGAACTCAGTTCAGGAAGAGAGCCGTGCAGGCAGGAAGTGACGGTAGCCTGGCAGAGCGGTCAGGTGAGCTGCTCAGGAAGGGATGTTACAAGAAGAAGGCAGCGCATACGTGCAAAGGTCCTGGGGTGCTGTCGGACTTGGCATGTTCAGGAATCAGCAGTGAAACCCTGAGCCTGGGGCAGAGGGAGCGAGGGGGCGGGGGTGGGAGGCAGGTCTGAGAGGAGAGCAGATTCCAGAGAGCTGTTGGAGGGATCAGAACAGGGGCAATGGGGCCTTGTTTCTGTTTCCAGAAGTTTCTTCTGGCTGGTGTGAGAGCTGGGGTCGGGGGGTGATTTGAAATGATGCCAGGAAGGCAGACCCTGCCCGATGCCAGCCAAGCCTTTGCCCATAAAATGTAGCCCCGTCCCGTAGGGCTGCGGTGACACGGTCCCCGATCACTGCTGCTGCTTCCATCCCTGTGGGAGCCAAGCTCCCTGATGTGCCAGGAAAGGTCCAGAGCCCCCCTGCTCCTGTCTAGGGTGACCTACAAGGAACACCAGCCCCCTCCCGATGGCCCTGCAAGATGAATGACAACGGGACCCCGTTGTCAGTGAATCAGTGAATCAGCAGCTGCTCTACTGGGACATCGGGTTGGCACATCAGAATAACGTCCGTGTGCCTGTCCTTTGTCCCCCCAGGTTTCTAACATCAAGTCTAAGATTGCCGCCTTGCAGGCTGCTGGGCTCTCGGTGAGACCCTCGGGAAAGCCCCAGCGGAGGTCCAACCTCCCGGTGAGTGCGGGGGGCCAGAGCCTGCAGGTCTGTGCCCAGCTGGGTGTGACCGGAGCAGACGGCTGGGGACGGCAGGGCAGGTCTGGGGCCAACGGCCTCCTCCCCAGATTCCAGCTGGGGTCTCCAGGCGGGTCACAGCAGTGGGGAAACCTGGCAGGCCAGCGGAGGATGGTCCAGGGAGGGCCCTAGGTCCCACTGCAGGGAAGATACAGAACACCCAGTGCACCTGAACTTCAGATAAAGGACACATCATTTTCTAGTGTAAGTACATCCCCTGCAATATTTGAAACATTCTTATAAACAAACATTCGTCGTTTTTCTGAAATTCAACGCTAACCAGCCACTCTGTGTTTTACTTTGGCAGGGTGCAGGGGGGTGTGTGGGGTGGTTTGCTGACGGGCCGAGTGTTTACAGAGAACAGGCATCCTGTCCTTCGGTCCCTCCGGCCTCCAGCCCTCCTGTGACAGGGGTCAGATAAGCAGTAATCAGGTATAGGCCTCTTCCTCGTCCTCCACAGATATTTCTTCCCCGACCCGTTGGGAGATTGGGCCAGACCCCTAAGGATCCAGACGCAGAGCCTTCGGATGAGGTCAAGGTATGTGTCGTTCCAAGAGTAAGAGGTCGGCGCAGCTTTTTCCAGAAGGTTCCAGGGAGTGTTGGGGCTGAGCCACACAGAGCTTGCTTTCTCGGCAGTCCCTCAGGGTGGCTTCCTCAGAGACGCGTGCTAAGACAGGGTGAGAGCGTTGACGTGTTTGTTGGGGAAACCCAGGAACACCCAGCTGGGGCGCAGGAAGGTGGGACAGAGAGGGAAACACAAAGCAAACCTCCCACGGTGACAGACCCCACACAAGGGGTCCTCAGCTCGGAGTAACGCAGCACAGTCTCCTGTGCAGGGCCCATCCGTCATGGACGACATCCATTCTGGGCTCTTCTCCCAGGCCCCGCGCAGGCCGGCGGGTTCCAGCGGCCTGGGGACGGGCCCGCGTCTAGGGGAGGCACATGCCGACTCAGCAGCGGGAGCAGCAGAAGCCCGTGTATGTGTGTGTGTGTGTGCGTGTGTGTGTGTGCAGTGGCCCAGGGACCAGGACCGTGGGCGACGATGGCACTATTAACAGCTGCAGCATGCAGGGGAGGGGCCCGCCTGGGAGGGAGCCAGATCTCCTGGGTGTAGGAGTGCGGGTGCCACCCTCAGTGCCCCAGAAAGTGTGGTACCTGCTCCCAGCCCTGCCTGCCGCCCGCTAGGAGCCGTAGGGAACATCCAGTCGCTTCTGTTTATCATAAGGGTGACACCGGGTAGCTTTTCGCAGTTGGGAACAGCGTTTTTCCCCTCCTTCCAAGTGACGTTTACAAAGCTGGTGAGTAGACACTGGTATTCACCCTGTCATAGCAAAGAGCAAACAGAAGCTCAGGGAGGTTGACATCTATGACTGAGATCACGCAGACCGTAAGTGACGGAGGGGGTCTCAGCCCAGGCCTCCCGGCCCTGACCTCCCTCCCTCTTCTTGGATCCTTCCCGATCTGCCCAGGGAAGCCCGGCCCCGAAGGCCTCTGCAGTGGGTCTCCGGGGGCAGCCCACGGAAGGAGCCAGGCAGAATCCCAGGGTGCCAGATTCTAGGAAGATTTCCGGGGGAGCCAGGCCAACCGCTCGTGCCCGAAGGGGACAAAACGGGCAGTGGACGATCCCCCAGCAGAGAGGCAGGTCAACAGGAAGGTGGGACGGAAGGGAAGGTGTGGGGACCCCCAGCCGTGAGGAACAGTTCATCTTCCAGAGTCCCCGAGAAGGGGCCGCTGGCCCGGTTTCCAGATGAGTCCAGAGAGGACACGCAAGTCGTCCACACCACGGGGGTGGGGGTGGTGCCTGGATGTGAACCCAGGTCTGCGCGGCTGAGACGTGTGCCCTCCCTACTGTCCGCCCACAGCTGACGAGCATAAACCTCTCTTTTATACTCTGGAGTTTGGTGCTTTTATTTCAATACGACGAAAGTTCAGATGCTGCCTGAGAACAAGAGACGGCTGACCCGATTCTCTAGAATCTGGAAGAATGATAAAAAGTCCAAATTTGGCTCCCGGTGTGGCTGAGAATTACAGCAATTTCGCGAAGCCCAGAGACTTCTTCTTTCTTCCAGGTGATGACTGCACCCTACCTTCTGAGAAGGAAGTTCAGTAATCCCCCAAAAAGTCAAGGTAAGGGTTAGTGGCTTCCCCGGTCCCCGTGGGCCTGGGAGGTGAGCTCAGGGCCGTGAAAGTGGCCAGTGGGAGTTCTGCATTTCTGTGTAATCCGGGGGACGCGGCATCCCATGTCCCTGTGCCTGGGACACTCCCGGGGCCACTCCGGCCACCGTCGGGGAGCACTCCAGTGGGTTGGTGTTCTGGATAACTGGAATTTGCTGGTTGAGCGTGCAGAGGTTGGGGGGGGGGTGTTGCCCTGTGAATTGCTCTAATGCTGTGCTCAACCCCCCCACCTCCTTATGCAAAGCACAGAACATACCCTAGCCGCCCTTGGTGTCTCCGTGGTGACTAGGACATCAACTTTGTTCCAGATGGAACAGGATGGAAAGCCTGGCTGCCCCATCCACAGCACGTGGCCGGGCTCTCGGGGAATCGTATACTCGTCCGTTGCTCCCCTTGCAGCCTGAGTGCGGGTCACCAGAAGAAAGTGGCCCCCTCCCCCCGTCAGGGTCCAGTCCCTCCACTGCCATTTGAGTCCCTTCGCCACCGTGGCGTCCCCTGTTATCCCTGCATCTGAGCTCTGTCCTCACCACTCCATCATTACAGCCCTGTCATAGCCATGGTCCCAGCCCAAGCTCTCTTTCCGCTCCTGCTCTGCTCCAGAACAATCGTTGGCTCCCACCTGCCTGCAGAATGAGTGGGATTACTTAGCACGGGCTTCCAGACCCTCGCTGCCTGTCCCACATGGGTGCCCTGGGAGCACTTTCCTCCACACTGGACAACACACACCTCACAGCCACACGTGGGGTTCAGGGCACCCGGTGCAAACACACGCCTCCGTGCCTTTGCCTGGGCCGGGCTTTCTGCCTGGGGTGCTTTCTTCCTGTCCCACCCGCCTCCACCTTCCGAAGCCCTTCCAGGCCAAGCGCAGTGCCTCCTCCCAGGACGTTCTCCTCCACCTCCTCGGGCACGACTTTGAGAGTCCGTGTTTGCACCCAGCTCACCTCCGTGCCGGCCCCCTCCTTCCGCCCCAGAGCTCCCCAGACACAGGCAGGTCAGTCCAGAGACACGGTGGGTCCCGAGGTCCTTTGAGGCGAATCCCCGACTCAGAGCCACCGGCCTCGTGATGGACTTTGCCAGAGACACCACCTGCCACGGGGCCAGCGGGAGGTTCCCGGGTGCGCTGACGCTGGGGGCGCTCCCAGCAGGTCTCAAGGCTACAACCCAAGTGGAGGCCCACGTTTCCAGCAGGGGGACGAACGATGAGCCCCTTGTCGGTCAGAGGCCTCTCACCAGTCCCAGCCCAGGGCACCTTGCCGCCGGGCCCCCTGAAGCCGACGGGCATTTTAGGGTCTAAACGGCACAGGCGAGGCTACTCGCCTGCCACCGCGGCCAGCCCCCGCGGGGGGCTTCTCGCCCTCTGCCAGAGGGCCACCCCCGCGCGGGCCGCAGGTCCCCACGCCTGCAGTGACAGATGGGAAGGGCCACGTGTGTCCTCACCGCCCCGGAGTTGGGATTGCTGGCTTAGCAACTCCCTCGGTGGAGTTTGGTCCCAGAGCAGGGACGTGTGGCAAAGCCAGGCCACACGCCCTCTGCCCAGCACGGAACCATGGACGGGTTTGCCAGCCCCCTGCCAACGAACAAGCCACCACCCAGAACACTTTGCAGCATCTGCCGATTTCCCTGGTGTGAACACCTCCCCCGGGGCTGATCTCAAGCTGCCGCCTCGATGTCCCGGAACTTGGGGCTGGGAAGAGGGGACGTGCCCCTCACACCCCCGAGGAACAGGTGCAGTGTGCCAGGCGGGGCCCACGCCACACCTGCCAGAGAGGAAGGGGGGCTGCCTGCCCACCCCCGGGCTCTGCTCGCTTGTGGCCACGCACGCAAACAGTTCACTAGGGTGTGACCCCAAATGCCTCGCTCTGAGGGGCGGGGTCCTGAGACCCCCGCAGCCCGTGTCACATCACGGAACTAAAGGAGAGGCAGTGGCAGTCTCTGGAGCCCTGGTGAGGTGGGGCTTTAGTGCTCGCTCCAAGGCAAGGGAGAAAGAATTGGACTGAATTGTTGCACACCTGCTGTTGTTCACTTGCACACCTGCTGACGTGCCTCTGTTCCCCTAAAGATAAGGCTGGCGACTCCTTTGACCGGCAGTCAGCGTACCGCGGATCCCTGACGCAGAGAAACCCCAACAGCAGGAAGGGAGTGGCCAACCACAGCTTTGCAGTAAGCTTTGACCTTGCTTCCTGAGGCCTGTCAGATTTACAGATTGACGTTAAGACTGCGGAGCAAAGAAAATAGGGATAAACTGACAAGTGCAGTAAAACCAGCAAAAATTTAAAGGAAAGTTGAACACGGTTTCTTAAAGGTACCAGAATATACCGATGATAAGGGTCTCTGCCTACCGAGGGATGGGTCTCAGCTCGGGGAAGGGGACCATCCATGGAGAAAGGACACTCAGGGGAGGGGACCATCCATGAGACAGTGAGGATAGTCAGGGAAGGGGACCATCCACGAGACAGGACACTCGGGGGAAGGGGAGGGGACCCTCCACGAGACAGGACACGAGGGGGAGGGGACCATCCATGAGACAGGACACGAGGGGGAGGGGGAGGGGACCCTCCACGAGACAGAACACCCAGGGG